ACACACAGACAGTACATAGAAGAACACATATATAAATAAATTGGAGGCACATAGGTACTACATATTCCCGTAGTAATCTCTTCCTGCAGTCCTTCGACAGGAAAAACAGTAAAGACACTGTGCGTAACATGACATGAACAAAGAAAAAGAACAAAATTTACCAAAATTTAAGCCAAAAGAAACTTAAATTAGTATTCAGCGAAAAATTACCAATTTGTTTTTATAGAAATTGATGGGTATAATAGTGGCAGTGGTTAATTAAAAATTACTTCAAATATTGTAACGATGTAAATAACCAATAATCTATTGATTATGTCCATACATGATAATTTTTTTTTCTTTTTTTGACGTTTATATTTTTGTTGTTGTTCGTTTAATTATGTCTACTTATGTATGCCTTTTTTTAAGGGGGGAAAATCATCACATGTCTGCTCCCGCCTGGGTGAGGCGAGAGGGAGTGTCAGACTCTTACTGACTAAAAACCACCCCGTTCCTTCTCCTGCACGTCGAGTCGGAGCCCCGGTTACCCGTTAGGTTCTCCGCGACTCCGAATCGGCATCGGCCGTATTGGCCGTATTTAAATTATATTAATTTGAAATTGTAATTATAATTTTTGTGGCACTGTCAAATGCACGCAATATAATGTGAGGCCTATTCTGTGGTCACAAGGCATAACATTTAAAAAAATATTTAACTACCTATCTGTACAGTGTACCTGCACAATGTACCTGTACAGATACTTGCAAATATTTAAATAATTCCCAAAACATACGAACAGTTGTTTCTTGCGGACACGAGAACCGAGGCACGTGTATTTAAAATTTTATTTTACTTCTAAGATATAGAATTCGCGACCTTGGACCGTTAACCTATTAAACTCACATTAGTTTGTTAATTAAGATAAACGAAAACAAAATAACTTAAGCAGACACGAGTATGTAGTTTGATTATAAACACTGTAAGAGCTATATCATTACGTATATGACCTTTTTGAGATAAACTTTTAAGATTGAGCACATAGCAACAACAACATCAAAGTCAAAGTCAAAATCATTTATTTCAATTAGGCCAGAATGGCACTTTTGAACTTCAAAAAAAAAATATTAAAAGTGAAGCTATTTGCTCATTCCAAGGTGTAGATTCCTATGGAGAAGAACGAGCAAGAAACTCCATAGGTTACTCTTTTTCAATCAGGTTCACAATACAGTTACATAGTTTTGCTATTTGGATTGTGCGACAACAATGTGACACTAAAATCCAGTCAAAGTGATCAAAAAAGAAAATAACCTTAAGGACAATAATACAGTCTGGAGCTGACCAGTCCCAGTGACGGCGCCCGTTCACGAACATGACACGTACACCAGCACCGCCCAACTCAACCATATTGTAGGCAATCGAGCGATCCACTGCACGCGCCACCGCCAATGAGACCTTTGAGTGAGCATGACAACTCCAAGCTGACACAAATGAATTCTACTAATCTAATTTAATATTAAGGTAATTACTGGGCTCTCACATTTACATTGGTTTTATAAGTTAAACAATATACATAATCATCATAATATCACAGTTCACTGCTAAATATAGGCCTCCCCCAATGACTTCCAGATAGGCAGGATGGAAGCGACCTGCATCCAACACCAAAGTCAAAAACCAAATCATTTATGTCAATTGGACCACTTTTCAACAAAAAAAAATTAAAAGTGAAGCTATTTGCTCGTTCCAAGGTGTACATTCCTATAATATGTACACATTGAGCTTAACATAACCAGTATAAACTGAACGTTAAATGTGCGGAAAGATGATGCGTCGCGACACCAGGATAAACTGGTTTTGTATAGATTGATGTGTGGCTGTGTGTACATACATTCTACCTTTTTGTTCCTTGAAGGGATATGCAGTATATCTATAAATGAACTACCAAATTAACTCGTCGAGTACCGTCATTATAGACACAATTATAGAACAATAGGTTGCGGTCACCGGTGACCGCTTGGTGTTTGACAGTTTAATAGTGCGCATGAACTTCGTATTTTATGCATAAAATTATTACAATAATATAATGTACTATTAATTCCAATATTTTTATTAATAAAAGCCATCACCGGCTTGGTGGTCGCGTTCGATATGTAGGTACTCAACTAAAAAACGATTTATGAAACTTTCCATACCCAGGAAGACTGGAGTTCTCTAAGTGAAATAATCTAAGAAATAATAAAAAAAAGTTTATATCGAATATTTATACATTATCTACGCTTTAACTCGTCGAGTACCGTCATTATAGACACAATTATAGAACAATAGGTTGCGGTCACCGGTGACCGCTTGGTGTTTGACAGTTTAAGTACCTACTTAAGTAAAAATATTAATATTCCTACAGTATCGCGACCTACACGAAAAAGACATTAAAAAGCAAAGCCATACGCGTAAAATTTGTTAATAAATATTACTATATTTTAAAATAAAAAAAACTCACATATTCCACGGTCATCATAATAACAATCCCTCGGTTTGCCAGACGAAAATGCAACGTAACTCAGTACACATAGAATCGCAAATAGCTTCATTGTCAGTAATATCTTTATGTATATAAGTAAGTAAATAAACGATATATGAACCCTGTATGTATTCGCTTGTACGAAACAAATGAGTAAATGAACTGTGGCATTGTTCTTATATAGTTTTTTTTACTACAATTCATATTATCTACAGTTTGACTGCCTCGTTGGCCGAGTGGTCGCAAGTGCGACTGCCGGGCAAAGGGTCTCAAAGGACAAAGCATTATTGGGTTTTAAAAAAATTCTCAGTAGTAGCACGGAGCCTGGAATTATGCCCGGTATATGGGAATAGGCTCACCGCCTATTACATGGGATTCATAACATGAATAGTAAAAAGTGGGTGTTGCATTGTACAGTGGCGTTAAGTGCCGCAATGCGCACCTCTGCCTGTCCCTTTGGGGATGAAAGGCGTGATCTTATATTTTTAACATATCTAAAGGTCATTTTCATGTATTAAACTGTCAAACACCGCGAGGGCACCGGTGACCGCAACCTATTGTTCTATAATTGTGTCTATAATGACGGTACTCGACGAGTTAATTTTCCACCCGCAGCTTCAAATACCGTAAAAATATGTTTATATCTCGAGTACTGCTTAATTTTTAAACAACAACAGTCAGTACTTAAAATATAAAAATCCGTTCAGTAATTTATGAGTTCATCGCGAACAGGCAGGTGAACATGGAACTATTCGATTTTTTTTCATCTACCTCCACAAGAAATTCTAAAAAGTAACAAATAGGATAATATTCTGTTTTTAGTATTGTTTTATATGTTTATGTTATCTGTGGCAAGCTGCCCAACTTAAATAGGGAAACCTATTTAAGTTCTTCTTTTGTTTCAAAAATATATGAGTGTGTTTCTGACTAGCTTGTTTAATTCACACGATAAATAACTCGAACGGGGTGATTACAGAAAAATCTTATATAAAATAGACAGTTCCGTAGTGCACTATCATGGACATTGGTGATTTAGTAGATATGATCATTTTGTCGTAGTAATAATGTAGATGTCGCGGAGAACCTAACGGGTAACCGGGGCTCCGGCTCGACGTGCAGAAGAAGGAACGGAATGGTTTTTAGTCAGTAAGAGTCTGAGACTCCCTCCCGCCTCACACAGGCGGGAGGCGGGAGCAGTCATTCGATGATTATCCCCCATTAAAAAAAAAAATGGGTAGTTTCCAAAATTATATTTTAAAGTCCGTCTGATACATTAATTTAAAACTTTAGACACGTATTTTTTCTTTTCTCACAAAATTAAATACATTCAACGTTATATTCTAATTTGAAATATCGGGTGAATTAAAATAATACGTGTCTTATATTTTTTCTATATCTCTGACGGACTAATTAGATTTTAAATGTTGATACCCTGGAAACTACCCAATTATAGGGCATACCCTGGGCGCGGATCTATATTTTTTTATATTTATTTGATTACAAATTATCGCATGTCTAATCTGGATAAATTGAAATTGTTCGCAAAATGATTTTATAATCGAAAATCATTTGTTGATTGTATTTTGTTGTGTTCATTATTATTGTATTAATCGTTTTCTGTAATAAAAATGTATTAATTCACTAGCAAAAGCACCGGGTTGCACCGTCTTTAAACTGTCAAACACAAAGCGGTCACCGGTGACCGCAACCTATTGTTCTATAATTGTGTCTATAATGACGGTACTCGACGAGTTAATAAATAGTCTACAAAATAGCCGCGTTTTGTATGTCAACAAAGGTACCTTTTTTAAGGGGAGAAAATTATCGAATACCTTCTCCCGCCCGGTTGACACGAGAGGGAGTGTCAAACTCTTACTGGCTAAAAACTACCCCGTTCCTACTTCTATATTATACAAGCCAAATCTCCAGTAACCTGTTAAGTCCTTCGCGGCTATTTTATATAATCCGTACCTAATTTTATAATTTGCAAATAACTACTAATAACTAAAGATCATAAAGTCAAAGTCAAAATCATTTATTTCAATTAGAACAAGGAAGGCACTTTTGAACGTCAAAACTGCTGTGAAAGTGTTAAAAAAATGTCATTCTGCCGGTCAGTCCTCTAGTGAAGCTAAACTTGTTCCAAAGTGTTCCAGTGAGATGAACGAGCAATAAAACTCCATAGGTTACTCTTTTTCAATCAGGTTCACAATACAATATTCTAGGTTACATTGCTTCGTTGATATATATGATAATACCAATAGATCATATCAGTGCACCAATGGATTACCAGCTAACTCTTTCAAAAGAAGGACTTGCGATAATAACCACGATTGGAAGGCGGGTTGGAGACGGGCGACCTGTCTAACAGGTTCAGGTTTATCAAAAAGCTGCCTGGTCTTTGTTAAACTTAGTCTTTTAAACCCTTAGTCAGCTCTTATAACATCAAGGGGAAGGAGACGTGTGATTATAAATACAATAAAAAGAAAATAAAGTGACTCACATCTGCCCATGATGTAGATACAGCCCCTGGGGTGTAGATTAGTACTGCAACTTGCTAACGCAATGAGCGAAATAACACATAATGCGAAAATCACCCTCATTTTGACAAAATTATTATTTTCTTCCTCTTTGTAATAAAGATACGTCCTATTTGTTCCGAGTTATTGGTCAAACTGACCACTCATTGTAAATAGGTCGATTTATATGCCACGGTACATAATATAGATTACGATTTAATTTTATGCGTTGCTTCACTACGTCATGTAGAGGTGTGAAGAAACCGGAATTGTTTTGACATTTACTTTTTATGTAGTTACAGTCATTTAATAATTCTTTGAATTTTTGTGTTTTGTTTTCTTTGGAAAACCAGTAACTGAATGATATCTATAATTTTTTATGCTTAAATATCCCTAATAACACCAACATATTTAAGATGACACAAACAACATGTATTAGAGGTGGGCAGTGTACTATTAGAAATGAAAAGAGTAACGAATGGAGTTTCTAGCTCGTTCTTCTCCACTCGAATCGACATTTTGGAACGAGCGCCTAGCTTCAATGACGGACAGACTGACAGACTATTATATATTTCATATTTGTTGACGTTTCAAAAGTACCAAATTATGGTTTAATTGAAATAAATGCTTTTGAGTTTGAGTTTGAGTTTAGAGTATATAGCATAATACCACCCACCCTTAAATTGTCAAAGACCGCGAGGACACCGGTGACCGCAACCTATTATTCTTTAATTGTGTCGATAATGACAGTACTCAATGAGACTTTTTTTTAAGGGGGGAAAATCATCGAATGACCGCTCCCGCCTGGGTGAGGCGGGAGGGAGTGTCGGACTCTTAATGACTAAAAACCAGCCCGTTCCTTCTCCTGCACGTCGAGCCGGAGCTCTGGTAACCCGTTAGATTCTCCGCGACTACATCCTTGGCTAGAATAAGTATTGAGTGCCCTGTACAGTATTTTGACTGACCTGAGTATCAAACTCATAACGCTATCTCGAATTCTCGACACTCGTGCTTGTAACCTTTCAACCGCATATATAGTTTGTTATTAAAACATGCACGATTTTGACCCCTTCAACCAACATGGACGGGGATAAGATTAAAAAGTATAATTATCATACAATACATTTTCGTATAAAACAAAAAGAAATAATAACAAGTTTTTACGAAGAAGTAACTACTCAAGATAAATCGTTCAATTGGGTACTCGCCAACTAGTCAAATTCAATACTTTTTTCGAACTGTCAAAAACGACAGTTTAGTCTATGAATTTTGTACGAGATTGTGTATTGTGACGTCACTTTTTTTAACGTCAAACAGCATACTTATTTCTTAAAAATTGGCTGGAAAATACTAAAATGAAGTTGGTCATAAAATCAAATAATGTAGATGTGATTATTTTTTAATATTTTATTGTGTTGAACAGTCGAAATAATTTTATTATTTACCTAAAAGTGTTACTAAGTGCAAAGCACCTAGACGACTTGGTCTACCTGTCTACTCTTCTTTCATTTTATTTATCAGAATATGTCAGGGTAATAGTATTTCGATACAAAATGTGGGTAAATATAATTATGTAAATGAAGTACCAAGATAGAAATTAACATCGAAATATGATAGTTTGCAACGCCATCTATAATTTTTATTATGAACTAAACAAA